CTCTCAGTGTTCTCCTTCAAGGTCTGTAATTTCGCAAGAGGGATGATGTCCACTTCAGCACCCATTGGTCGTTGCCAAATAGTTTTCATCGAGGCTGCGTTGTAGTAGTAGTAACGGCCCGTTTTCGAGTCAAACAGCTCCCACCACTGGTTTTCGTGCGTACGTTTACTGAAATGCGGAGAAGCATACGTGATACATTGACGAGGATACTTAAATTCCCGTCGTGCATATGTAGGGTGATTTAGCATTTTCTATTACGCCAGCAATTGACTCTCAATTTGGGATGAGTGGTGGGAGGAAAGAAGGAAGTAAACAGAAAATGGCGGTATCACAATCACTCTTAATCACCAGAAGAGTTCAGTAATCCTCTCCTAACTTGAGTAATTAATTTTAAGCTGAAAAGTGAGCTGGCCTAAATTGTGTGTTTTAAATTCACAATCTGTAAAGCGTACTAGTACAGTCACCAGCAAAGATAGGTAATCAATTTCCATAGATTCATAGAGGTAGTTATCACACTGTTAGACGAAAAGCGATTGCTTTGGCTCACTTAAAGTGAAAACCGATTGCTAGTCATTTGCATATGTACAAATAGCGTAAATACGAATTTAAAGATAAGGCGATATAAGAAAGTATCAAATCTTACGAAACAAAATTATTTTTGACGCAATATTCCTGATGAAAGGGCTTCTTTTCTAATTTTTTTTAAACAAAAGAGAAGCTTTGTGATATCGCACATATATATTGTAATAAGTATGAGAAAAAAAAACGAAGGCATAAGGAATAGGACGATATGGAATTATTACTAAATGTAGGAGGAAACAAAGAACTTTGAAATAACTAAGTAATTGGTCTTCTAAGCAGTAGAATTTAGTGTGAATGATTCCAGCGAACATATAGTAAGCGTTGAGAGTTGAGAGCCTTTCTCAGTAGTGACTCAACAAAAACTAGTATCACATTAAGGTTGGATGGAGTAAAAAAATGTTGAAAAATCTGGGAAAATGTTATTGCTAAATTTTGACAATATAGCGAATCTGTTCACAGTATGCAAATAAGTAGCAAAACTTCAAAAACATTGAGGTAAAGAAATGATAGGACAAGGTTGGAAGACGAAATCATTATTGGAAGTAGAATGGAGGGATTTCTAAAGAAGAACTTTTAAAAAAAAGTTTTGTAAATCATATTACTGTACTCAGAAAGGAGATAAAGCTGAAGTGGCGTAAACGAAGCAATCTCTTACACTGAAGCACCCGGTGGTGGTTCCCACGAACACTGTCCCGTAATCAAATTTGCATACATGTGCTGTTTCGTTTGTGGTTCGACTATCTCCACCCATTCAACCGTATTACTACAAAAACAAAGCAATAACACACAGCAAATAGCATCGCAGTGAAAAACGAAATTACCTCGAGACACTTGGTACATCACCTTCAGTAGCTGGAACACCATTTCCATTGTTGATATTCATTTTATTAATGCAAAATACAAAGACTGTTCAGCAATTCAGCAAAACATCTTGCATACAGTAGAAATCTGTAA